GTCGATGAGAAAATGGTGCGTTCCCTTTGGCAATGCTTAGTTAAATGTTTCTGCACATAGATGGCTCTGCCAATGCTTAGTCACAAAGGAGTCAGTTAGTAGATCTTGCGATCTCACTTTTCCTTGAAAAAGTGGGAAAACGCTTTTTTTTTTTTTTTTTTTTTACTAATGCTATCAATATTGACACTTATTTTTGTTATAAAAATTATAATGACTATATTGTTACTGACAGGTAGTTTGCATAATTGGCTCATTGGTGACTTAATACTTGTGGAGCCATCTATATGTAAAAACAATAAGTAAATTCAACACACACAATGGGCAATGGCATGTACGTACATACCATGCCCAGCGGCTTGGGGTTAATTACTGTTAAAAGGAGTTTTGTGACCACTGTGAAATGCCAATAAACCTCCATGATAGTTAATTGAAAAGTACATGTATAGATTTGTACTTTCCAAATGTCTTTGTGGTAGATTGCACATTGTCAACTAGTCTAGGCTTGCAATGTTAGCTGTCTTGCTAAAATCTCCCAGTATAACAAATTGATCATGAATCCAGCCCCAAACTCACCTGGTTTTGAGTGACTTTTGAAATAACATTGTGACAGAGGTTGAGCGTGGTCAGCCTGTCCAATGCTAGGCTTGGGACGGCTGCTATCTTGTTGAAATCAAGGTCAAGCAAGCTCAGTTGACCTGGCAGCTGACCTGGGAGGAAGGTGAGGGCATTCTGGGCCAGGCTGAGGTTCACCAGGGAAGTCAGGGGTGCAAAAGTCCCGTTCTCAATCACCTGGTGGCAGTTGGGGTTAGTGGTGGGAGAAGTGGGAGGCAGTTTTTGGTGTCTTTGTGATGTGGCTGATTTTGTTGTGATTAATGTGATGTGATTGTTTTGTTGTTGTTGTTGCTATCATTATTATTATAATGATAATGATTATTTTTATTGTTAGTGTGGTTAATATTGCTAATATTTCAGTAACATTATGATGATAATGTTTATAATTGTTATTATTATTATTTTCTTCATTTTTTCATTATTATTGCTATTATTATTGCTATTATAGTTGTTATCATTACTATGATGATTTTGTTATTAATATTATGTTTATGAGTATTTTCATTTTTCTCTATTTATTTATGTTTTGATATTGTTGGTGGTATTAGCCACCTTTGTGTTACCACTATTATTTAAATTTCTGATCATTAATCCAAGTGTTAAGCTATATTCACATTTAGTTTTTCTCGTCACACTATAAAAGATACCAAATTGCTGACTAATTCCAGACCTTTGTAAATTCCTCTCTGCTTACCCGTATATTGTTATTTTCCAAGCTCAAGGAAGACAGGTGACTGCAGTTCTCAAAGGTCCCCAGGTTTAGGGACGTTATGTTGTTGCGGGTGATGTTGAGCGCGGCGAGTCGAGGGATCTGTCCCAGGGCACCTGATTCAAGCTCTGTCATCCCCACAGAAGACAGCTCTAGAGTCACCTGTGGGTTAGGACGGATGGGTGGGTGAAGGGCTAGAAGGTGTGGGTGGGGGTAGGGGTGGGGTGGGGTGGGTGGAGGTACTTTAGTGTGAAGAAAAGTTTGTGGTTGTCGTTGTTGTTTTTTTTGCCGCGGTTGTTATTTTGTTGTTTCAGTTTAGGGGGGAGGGGATGGTACATATTTGTATCGGCGGATGGAATTACTATTATGGTTATTATTATTATTATTATTATTATTATTATTATTATTATTATTATTATTATTATTGTTTTCCTTTTTTTCAAGAGATATTTGGTGTGTTTAATTATTTAGATTTTTAGAGTGCAGATGAACCCAGTGATGAATGAAATGGAGAATTGGTAGAAAGAACAGAAGAAAAGAAGTACTAAAGGAATATAGAAAGTGAAAGATGTATGTGAAAGAAAGGGAGAAGGGGAGTCAGGATATAAGGGAAATAGAAGAAAAGAAGGAAAACATGCTTACCAGATGGTCCATATGTTGGGCAAAGCTGGCGCTAAACACAGTGATGGGAGGGTCGGCCGAGTCGAAGCTGAGTTGCGTGGACCGTGGGTCTAGGGGGGGAATCACACCTCCTTTGCAGGAAGCTGCTGGACCCCGGCATTCGCACTCCTGGGGGCATTCCAAGAAGAAGGATGCCAGCCCAGGTTCCACGCAGAATAGGAGGACGAGGAGGAGGTGGAGGTAGATGAGGATGGCATGGGCCGGCATCACGGAGAGGCTGGCGTCTCACCCCTGGGGCTCTAAGTGGCATGTGGGAGTGGGTGATTGTTTTAAGGTTTAGAGTTTAAGGGTTGATGGATGGATGGAGGCAAAGGGACTGCAAAAAGAGGAAAAACTGCAAAAAGTGTGACCAGTTAAATGATTGTAGAACTGAATTTTGAACTAACTTTTTTGGCAATGATTGTGTTGTGAAATTTTGTTCATGCTATAGTTGATGAAATATGGTTTTGAGAAATAGGTTATCATGAGATAATGGTTAACACTTCTATTGTGTTAATA